GAGGAATTAATTGTTAGCCTATACTGAGCTATATTTCAATATATCGTATTTTCTATAAAAACCATGAACTGATAGACTATCTGACAGATGACGATAGGATACTAGAACATGTTTTGAACCCCTCTTTATAGTGTAGACGATGATCGGTAACCTACGCTATGAAGTGGTATTTACGAGAGACGTAACTATTTGTGCGTACCTAGTGGACACTATGCCGCCTTGGGCGAGGATCTGGTGTTGGCATGTGGGCTGGGAGAAATAATCCCTAGCGAAAGGCTGAGGGACACGGAGACAGGCATTGGGCCGGGAGGGAGTTATCTCTGGCTACGGGCACAGAGACTGAGGTGCAGGCATTGGGCCGGGAGTTATATTCATTCAGTAATCTTTCTAGCAGCACACCGCGCTTACGAGACGATTTATGAGACGTTTACTGTTTTGATTTCTGCGATGAGATTCTGCAATATGGCTTTTGAGATATTTTTGGCATGCTAGAATTTTTATTAAATCCATCACTTACTATGCTAGTAGTTTTCACTATTAAACTTTGGGGGTTAGTATCTTGATAATTGTTTTATTATTATTATATATATGAACTTGGTCCACTCACCTTTGTTTTGCGCCCCCATTCAGGACTTAGAATCAAGGCACCTAATCCTAACGTCAAGGCACTTCCGTAGCAGCATCTTCGGATCCTCTCGAATGTAGGACTCACTCCTTTATTCATTAAATTTTATCTTAATTCTTTTTAGTGATTAGGGTTAGTTGTATGTTCTGAACATGTTCCTAAAACTGTTAACTCATTGTATTTCAAATTTCTAACCCTCATTTATTTCTTATTCTTAGCTTTTGTATCAATTAATGGCTTTCGTCACCCTCGGGTGTCGGCCAGCACGTGTCTATCCTGGTATTCGGGGAATATCAGGGTCGGGGCATGTCAAATTGTCACATCTCAGTCAGCATAGTAAGATATAGTCCGCTTTGGGGCATACCCTCACGGATTTGTTCTTGAGTTTCCGCCCAAAACGCGTCTTACTATAGGAAGGTGGGCAAGTACATATAAGACACATCACCTTTTATTCCCAGGACGATGTGAGATCTTACATTACGCCATTGTTTTGGTGAGGAAACCATGGACTTGTCTTATGAATGTGTTCTTTGATGCTCAAATAATGTATATGCTATTTGGTGCTTGTTCATTCAATTGTGATTGGAGTTTAATGGGCGAGCTTATTCAAATATTGTTTTTGTTGAAGAACATTCTCCGGTGAGAGTCCTCAGCTGTCCTACATGGGTATCTATGGTCAACGAGTTCAAGTTCTTGATTTTTTTATCATTGACATCATCTCTAGCCTCCTTATGCATTAACAATATTTTTCAGAAGGCTAACAATAGCAATTCAATGTTTTAGCATCACTATTATCCATAACTAGCCTCCTGCAGGCGCTCACGCATTTGCATAAGGCCTTTTTATAATCACGACGTTCTACACGCGACTTATAGAATTTAAATGTATTTATCTACGTGGATTTGAAAAGCGAATTAAACATTAAAAGAATGAATGTAACCTTATCATATATTTGACGGAAGCAAAATATCTTCGTACACAACATTTCTTTTGAAGACTCCCATAAATTAACAAACACATAAAAAAAACACACACACACAGTAAAACAACATAACACACTAATTATGAACAAACCACCGAAATTAGGACTTCAATTTAAACACGATTAAAAAGCCGCGTGCTGTTTAGCTCACCAACCCCATTGAATCAAAACAAATTCAATCGGAAAACAAAATATATTAATGTCACACATGAACAAAATGTTTGTGGGGATGAGGCTGATGAGCAATACCTTATCATGGCCATGTATAACTTAATCAAAGCGACGTGAGAATTCCTGCAAAATTAAAGCAAAGCATGTAAAGAAAAAAGAAATCAAAATTTTATAGTACTTCATCTCAAAAGCCAGAAATTCATCTACTGCCTGCCACAATGGCAGCACCAATTTCCATTGATATAATTAAACAGTATACATAAACAAAGAAATCATCTTTACATCTTGCAGATCAACTGCCATAAAATACATCAATTGATCATCTAACAAATTAAAAAAAAAAGCACAGTGAAGGCGCAAGATTACATTAACCACCAACTTACCATCCATACACAAAAAATGCATCTGAACTTTGATTTATAAAATCGCAGGCTGCCTTCTCTTTTCCAACCTTTTAACAATTCAACAGTAAGACTATCTCACTAAAAACTTATATTAGCAAATCCAATGACGAATAATGTGAAACTGAAGCTGTAAAAGATGAAATTACCATCTGGTTTTTCCTCATGGCAATTTGTGTGAGTTTCGGCATCATGTGCACTTTGAATTAATCATTTCCCCTTTCACCCAAGACTCTTCAAAGGAGCTCCTCCTCCTCCTTCTCCATTTCCACTTCGGCCTCTTCACTAATCTCATGATCAAATCCTAGTAAATGTAACAACCCATGTATCTGCAGGAGGGTTCAGTGATTAAAGTCATCAAACTACACTAAAAAGCATCCCTCTGAATTAATCGGTTCTCCAACGAAAAAAATCCTTCAACCATGAGAACACGTATCTCATCAATAAGCGTGTGGCCTCTTTCCTCCGCTTGCCTTGTCGCTGTCTCAACAGAAATCACAATGTCACCCAACATAAGCTGCATATAATACAAATGTTCAGCGATTAAAATTAAGGAAAACTAATGAAAAATGTTTGAAAATTTTGAGTTTTAACGAAATAGATAAAATAAAGGATAAATTGAATAGTACAAGGATTGACTTTTTAGTGTAAAAATGTAATTTTTCGTTAAAATAAATAGTACCATGAGCTTTTCGTTAAAATTCTCTTAACATTATGCTAAAAGAAAAGGAACAAAAACTAAAAAAGAATGAGCTAGTATAATGGGAAGCTTAAGATTAGGGACATGCTGCGACAGCGAAAGACATCAGTGGCTTGGTCCTGACGCAGCCGTCCGATAATTCTTGGTGGGATTCCACCAAAACCCGGGATTTATTGTCGATGATCCGTACCGTCACAACCTCAACCCTTCAAACCGGAGGGGATGAATCGGCTACACAGCTTTCGTCTTCGGAGAGATCGAGCCAGAGGTTTCTTCACGAACCTCTCTAACCCAATGAAGAGCACTCCTATCAAGTCGTTCAGTGAACATATCACTTATGGGTTCTTCCTTTATCTGCACGCAGGGAGCAAAAGGGCAAAAGCAGAAATCAGGAAAGCAAACCGACTGAGAAAAGCTTGGGCATTTTTATGACAAAAATATTAAAAAATAAATTTACAAAATTAAATATTAAAAGAATGAATGTAACATTATCGTATACTTGATAGAAGCAAAATATCTTTGCACAACATTTCTTGTGAAGACTCCCATAAATAAACAAACACATAAAACACACAGTAAAACAGCATATCACATTAATTATGAACAAACCACCGAAATTAAGACTTCAATTTAAACACGATTAAAACTAAAAGGAATACCAAAGTTTATTCAAACTTGAAAAACATATAGACCACGCTGTTGTAGGGTAAGAGCGTTAGGAGGGTTTTCGTCAAAGAAGCAGATAGACCATGCTGGCTAAATCCGTCATTTTACTAAATAAAGTAAGTGTAGATATATTGTTTGTTAAAAATAAATAACAGTTAAAATGGGGGTAAAAATGTCAATCCGGTTTTCTAATATGAATCCTCTAATCATGTTTTGAACAAAACCTCTGAACATGTTATTGTAGGCAAACTCATCAGGATAACAGGCCATTTAATAAGAGGATCCCTATTTTTCAAAAAAAAAAATGGAGATATCTTCTTGAACGTTAGATTTGGCTTTAATGAAATTCTGTGGTTGAAATTAAATCACAGGTCACAGAATCTCAACCACAAAATTTCATTGAAGCCAAATCTAACGGTCAATAGAATGTTCCCATTTTTTTATGAAAAATGAGAATCGCTCTTGTTAAAAGATTCCTCAGGATAAAATAAGAGTATTTTGGGAATCCAGTGTTTTCCTGAAAACCACTTATAGTATGCTCCATTTCAAGCATTTCCCACTTCCCACTACTCAATTTTCGATTTTTCTTAATTCTTTTGTTTTTTCAATTTTATCTACCCAGCTGAAAAATCTCACTTTGGAATTCAATTGTTATGAATTAAATATAAATAATTTCAATTCAAATTAGTGCCAAGGGATTGAGAGTTTACTTAGAAATTTCGTTTTTGTATTTTTTTTTCTGTTGGAAAAGTTTAAGACTTGGTGGCAACTCAATTCAAACATAAAAGAATGTCAAGCGGTCAAACATAAAGAAAGTCAGAATTGTGAATGGGGTTTTAATTGGTTGTAGTTTTTCGTTGTTATAATTGAATGAAGTGTTAGTATCTTGGAGAAAACGTTACGCCATTGTTTTGGTAATGTGTTCTTTGATCCTGAAATAATGTATATGATGCTTGATGCTTGTTCATTGAATTGTGGTTGGAGTCTAATGGCCGAGCTTATTCAAATATTGTTTTTGTTGAAGAATATTCTCGGGTGAGAAGAAAAGAATCAGGAAAACCATAACAACTAGATCGATGTTCACACAATAAGAATCACAACAAGAATGGAGAATGAAAACAACCATGTCATGCATGTGCTCGACTACACAACATATGTCACTGAGTTACCATGCATGAAAATTCAATATCATAAATCGTGTAACACTTAGTATCTCGGACTATGCAAAAATCGCACTTGTAAACATACAAACTTTGCCACATCCAACAAAAATGCCCTCCTTATATAAAATTACAAAACTTGCCACATCCGATAACATAACCAGGGTAACCAAATTACTTCTTAACACATAAAAATGAAAACTTTAATTTTGGCGGCATCACTGGTAAAGTAAAACCATAGGAAAATGACCTCCTTATATAAAAGGGTTCAAGTTAAGTAATTTGAACCTGGAAACTAAAATTTTCTCGGCTAATTTTCCCGAGAAAGTTCTCCACAGCAAAAATTGAGAAGAAAGAAGCTAATCGTTGTGGGCCGAAGAAAACCATGACGACGTTGATCAGAAAAGTGTGGGAGTTGGTGTCAAGCCGCACGGTTTCGTGTTCAGAGTCAACGTCGTCGTCTTCTTCTTCGAGCTCTCCGTCGGAAACGGCGGGTTTCGGGGCGTTCGATCGAGTGCCGACAGACCTACTGATGCAAATCGCGAGACTGGTGGGGCCCAAGGAGCCGTGAAATTGAGCGTCGTGTGCAGAGCGTGGCGGTGCGTCGTCTCCGAGAACGAGCTGTGGATTTTCTTTCTAAAGAATCAGAAGCTGGAGGAGGAGAATTATTGGGAATCCTTTGCTTTCCCGGAAACCCATTTGAGATTCGGATACCCACTTCAGTATGTTCAATTTCAAGCATTTCCCACTTCTCAATTTTTGATTTTTTTTTAAATTTAATGTTCTCAGCTGAAAAATCCCACTTTGGGATTCAAATTTAACGTCTTTGTTATCAGTTATATATAAATAATTTGAATTCAAATTAGTGTTCAAAGATTGAGAGTTTACTGTGAAATTTATTTTATTTTATTTTTTGCCGGGAAAGTTCAAGGCTTAGCGGCAGCTCAGTTCATAAGTTCTAAAGTCTATGATTATCGATTAAATGAACTTTTTTGTATTTAAATTATTATCAGTGGCAGTAAAGAGTGGAATTTTTACTGACAGAAATTTTTATTTTTGGCAAAGTTGTGCAAAGGTGTGATTTTCATGTGGTCAAACATAAAAATGTCAGAATTGTGAACGGGATTTTAATTGGTTGTATTTGTTCGTTGTGATAATTGAAATTGAGTGTTAGTATCTTGGAGAAAATGTTACGCCATTCTTTTGGTGAGGAAACCATGGACTTGTCTATTGAATTTGTTCTTTGATGCCGAAATAATGTATATGTTGATTGGTGCCTGTGCATTGAATTGTTTTTTGAGTTTTATGGCCTTATTCAAATATTGTTTTTGTTGAAGAACATTCTTGGGTGAGAGTCGCCAGTTGTCCTACATGGGTATTTATGGTCAACGAGTTCCTGGTTTTGTTATCATTGACGGTGAGTGTCTCTAGCCTCTTTACGCAGTAACAGTATTTATGTTTAAGAAGGCTAACAATAGCTATTCAATGTTTTATTATCACTATTATCTAGCATCTGTAATAATATGAGTAGAGTTATGATTTTGTTTTGTTAGCAAACGTTTGGGTTTATGTAGCTCCAACATAAACCGTTCCCTCATTTTATCTTTACATTTCTTGGGAAGGGGGCTCTGGCTATTGCAAGTTTGGCTGGAGCAAATACGCATGTCCATCAGGCCGATCAGCAACCTTTTTGGTGAGATGTTTATTTCAGCTCACAGTCAAGAAGTTCTTTTGCATAAACCTTCCATTCCACATGATTGTTAGATTGTTTAATATACCTGTCACTTTTGATTGCACACTTTTTTCTTGCTATGTCTATCACTACAATGTTCTGAAGTGATCTGACTCGCAGGAATTTGGTAATGTTGAGTCGCCAATGTAATCAAGACTCCGCCATTTTTTTTTTTGTGAATATTTATAGCAGGTGTGTCCTCCTATATTTTAGTTTTCACTATTATTAGTCAAGCAACTTCATAGTTAAAGAAGCTTGTAGCTGTTCTTCTTGATGCAATCCTCTTTCTCTTAGTTAATTGCAAACATTTCTTTATTCAATCTGCATGTTCAATTACATAAATACAAGTAAGCACATTTGAGATACTTTTCCTCTTTTCAGTTTAAAAGTAGAGAAGAAAGAAACTGCACTACCTTCGTTATCATGTGGCATGCTGGTTCACTGCGATTCCTTTGAATCTTTGATAGCAGGTATAGCTGATATATGTGATTGTGTTTCTTCTTAGGATGCAGGTGAAACCATCTTCGCAGCCCGTGGTTTTGTCTATACCAATCTGCCATTATGATGGTGAGTTGCTGCCCTAGAGTTATAATTTGGATTAGTTGCACAATTCCTTTGTCTTGTTATCCTTCACAAAGTAGTGTCTTCATCCACCTAATGTGCTATTTTTTTTCTTATTTTTTATTCTAGATACTGAATCTGCTAAGGCATCGAGACGGCAGCTCAAAGAAGCCATATACAAAGTACTTTTTGACATGAATGTCCCTGCTGTCGGTGCCGTTAATCAGGTAAACTGTTCCCCATCCCCTCCATAATAATATATATGTTTTCCCATAAACCATAGGGAAGAATGGACCAATGGCATTGCAATTGTGCAAAGTTGTCATGTCATCTGGAACTGCATCTCTCAGTGTATAAATGGGTTAATTGAGTCTAGGTCCAGTATTCATTGTCTGCTATTGAAACTGCAGGCAACTTTAGCTTTGTATGCAGCAAGACGAACTTCAGGGATTGTTGTAAACATTGGTTTCCAGGTCACTTCTATTGTTCCAAGTAAGCCATTCTACGTTTGATCTTTCTCGTGATTTCAGATTTATTAACTACTGAAAAGATCTCTGGTCATACTTGATGCTTTCGTAGGGAATGTGCATAGTTTCTCTTTTACAATTTTGTTGTATTTTTTTTTTCTTCACAATTAATCAAATGGTAAAGTTACAGGGTTACTATTGTGTTTACAGTTTTAAATGGTAAAGTTATGCGCAAGGTGGGTGTGGAGGTTATGGGATTGGGAGCGCTGAAGCTTACAGGGTTCCGTAGGGAGCTATTGCAGCAGAGCAATATCAATTTTGACTCACTGTACACTGTTCGTGTTGTGCCTTGGCCCGTTCGTTAGTGCGGAAACGAGATTCAGATTACAACCTCACCATATTCACACTCAGTTGAACAGAATAAAATACAAGAAATAAAGACACTGAGAGATTTACGAGGTTCGGCAAAAACCTGCCTACGTCCTCCAAGAGATATTGCTCTTCACTATGAGAATAACTAGTACAAGATACACTTGAGTTAAATCAACATAACCCAAACCCCAACCCCTTGTACCCTCACAGAATTTTACTAAGAGACTCACTCTTCCCAAGAGTTTCTCACTCTCACTCTATATTTTTCTCTCCTTTGTGTTTTCCGAATGCACACCCACTTTCTTCACAATTGGCAAGCTCACTTTTTTTGTGTATGAAAAATTCCTTCACTTATAGACATGCACCTTCAATTATGTCAACCACCAAAAAACAAAGTTTACGGGTCATGTTTCCAAATTCCACAAAACATGCTTCCACAAAACATGTTTCCCCAAAACATGCTTCCACAAAACATGCTTCCACGAAACATGCTTCCAAAGTCCACAAAGTTGAGAGGAAATGGTTGCCAACTCATAATTATATGAGCCAAACACAACAATCTCCATCTTGGCGAATATACTGTGCAAAAATCCTTGCACCCATCACCAATGTCCATTGGCCTTACGTACCAGCATACACACCCTGAATCAACCTCGTTGGTCTTGTTCCTGATTCAGTCACTGCCAATGCATGTGCAGCTGCTGCAAGCTAAAAATCACCATTTAGCTTCAGACAGGATCTCGACACATCCTCGTCTCCTCCAGCAGGTTTTCCTCCTCTTCATTGTCTGCAACCTGGAAACTCGTTAGCGCGCCCGTTTCCAGTAACAACCCATCGAGCCAGACAAAATTCCCACACTTCCTCCTACCTCATGATCATCTCATCACCTGTGAATCCCATAGCTCCACCTGTTGCAAAACCCCTGCAACACTTGAGACTAAACATCACCAGGAGAAGTGTTGCTTCGAGTACCTAGAGGGCATACTCGAAGTCTTCCGCCACAAAATTGCTACAACCCGGACCAAGATCATCCTTTCTTTTTCTCAAAGGACAATTTTTCTTTTTATGTCCGAATTCTTTGCAGTTGTAGCATTGTAGACCTTTGCCTCCGGAACCGGATTTGAACCTGTTGTCTCTCTCAGATCCTTCTCCCAATTTTCTTCCACGATTCCAACCTTGAACAGCTAAAGCAGTCTCGTGCCCACCATCAACAATGGTCTTCTTCTTTTGTGTATCATAAGACACCAAAGAAGCTTGCACCTGCTCCAAACTTACTGTATCTTTTCCATGCAGTAAGGTTGTCACAAGATTTTCATACGAATCTGGAAGTGAGGTAAGAAGTAAGAGGGCTTTGTCTTCTTCCTCAACCTTAATGTCAACTTTCCGCAATTGATCCAAGTATCCGTTGAACTCATTCATGTGGTCCATGAGATTCCCACCTTCATCCATCTTCAGCTTGTACAGTTTCCGCTTCAAATGCAACTTGTTGGTCAAACTCTTAGCAATATAGAGTTTTTCCAACTTCTCCCAAAGTGCAGGCGTAGAATCTTCATCCATAACATTATTGATAATGTTATCTGCTATACAGTGTCGAATCGTGCTAACACAACGCGCCTCCAGCTCCTCCCACTGGTCATCTGTCATTTCTTGAGGCTTCCCATCTTTTCCCTTCAAAGCTCTAGCCAAGCCTTGTTGAGTCAAGACATCCTTTACTCTCATCTGCCAAAGAGTAAAACTGCCTTTCCCATTAAACTTCTCAACTGAAAATGACATGTTTGTAGTCATCATGGTGAATAAAAAATCTGAACCGTCAATGAACCAAAGCTTCCAACAAAGCTCTGATACCAATTGTTGTGCCTTGGCCCGTTCGTTAGTGCGGAAACGAGATTCAGATTACAACCTCACCATATTCACACTCAGTTGAACAGAATAAAATACAAGAAATAAAGACACTGAGAGATTTACGAGGTTCGGCAAAAACCTGCCTACGTCCTCTAAGAGATATTGCTCTTCACTATGAGAATAACTAGTACAAGATACACTTGAGTTAAATCAACATAACCCAAACCCCAAACCCCAACCCCTTGTACCCTCACAGAATTTTACTAAGAGACTCACTCTTCCCAAGAGTTTCTCACTCTCACTCTATATTTTTCTCTCCTTTGTGTTTTCCGGATGCACACCCACTTTCTTCACAATTGGCAAGCTCACTTTTTTTTTGTGTATGAAAAATGCCTTCACTTATAGACATGCACCTTCAATTATGTCAACCACCAAAAAACAAAGTTTACGGGTCATGTTTCCAAATTCCACAAAACATGCTTCCACAAAACATGCTTCCAAAGTCCACAAAGTTGAGAGGAAATGGTTGCCAACTCATAATTATATGAGCCAAACACAACAGTTCGGACTGTGAAAGAGGTATAGCTTGGATTTTTATCGTCATAGAATGCTATCCGTGAGTGTTAATATGACCAGTAGAACGCCACAGTTTGTTTAAAGAAGGCTTTTTCTAGTTCTAGCTTTTGTTCTTTCTTCTCATGTCATAGTTTGGAAATTTATTGGTGGAATGATAAATAGGAAGTTACTAAGCGAGCTCGACATCCTGAGGTAAGAGGTTCAGTTTGCCCTATGCTTTACTGGTTGAAGGATTGGATAGTGGAAACTTAAAAAGGATGCGTATTTGTTAGTATGATAAATTGCTAATCATGTTCTCTCCAAATTTTACTAGTTAGTTTATTCGGAAAACAGAATTTCAATGGGAAATTTTATTTGGAACTTATAATGTCATATTTCATATAGGCGTACTATGGGTTTGCACCAGGCTGTTGCTCTTTGCATGGAACATTGCCATTCGGCAGAACTAACAGGAGACGATGCATGGTTCAAGACAGTTGTTTTGTGAGGAGGCGCCGCATGTTTACCAGGACTCGCAGGTATCATTCAATTACAAGTAAAATTTCCGTGTCTTTTTTGATAAATAATGGAATATGAATTGGGAATCTTACTAATCTTCTGGGCGATGGGTTTCACATTTTGTTTGCTATAATTTACCTGGTAATAATGCAGCTGAGCACCTTCCCGGGCCCCTGGTGCGTAACAAAGAAGCAGTTCCGGCAGAAGTCCAGAATCAAGCTTATGCGGTGAAAAATAATCTGGTTTATATTTGAGCACTGCCGTGGAAGGTGTCGGATCAAACAGCACTGCAAGAGAACATTTATTTGTAACCATTATCGTCCTTGAATAAGAACAATTCCACGGTTCTACGTGTATCCAATCTTAGGATAAATTACAAATAAAGCAAATTCATATTTCACGTTGAAGGAATGGAATGTTTTATCTGGACCACACATTCAGGTAAGAATCTGTTTAAGTTCGTTGTACGATAACACAAATAATTTTTTGTTTCCTAATTCATTCTGCAAGAGAACATTTCCCTTCAAAAGATTTAAAGCAGAAGATAACACTTTGTTCGTTGTGATGGTTAAAGTTGGAATCAAACTAACACGGCAGGCCGAAAAATTCAAGTCCAGGAGAGTGATTTCAACCGTTGAGTTTTAACATGCAAGTTTCATGAGTTTGCTTCTAATAAAATATAATTATTAAAACTGTTAAACTCTCACCGCTACATAAACAATTTCACAGAGATCAAGCGCAAGAACATAAAAACTACTAGGGAAGGCCAAAGGACATGCTTTCATTGCTACTTGAAGTAAGAATGTATACCAAAAGCAAGTTTGAAGAAAGAATGAATAGATGGAGTAGTATGGTGGAAAGGGATTCCGTAGACAGCAAATAAAGGAAGTAGAAATTTTTATGATATAAAGCAAAAGAAAGTGCAAGTTATTCTTCCTTCAATTTTCAGTCCGGATTTATTAGTGAGCCATGTCTCATCTCTCAACTCCCATACTTTCATTTCATGTAAGTTTTTTGTCATGGAAAATCCAAGGGCTTATTTGAAAGTGTCTTTGATATAACTGAAAGCACTTTGATGAGAGTGCTTAACCAATTCTTATATGTCAGAGCAGGTCTTTCTCCATCTTCAAGAACAAGTCTCCATCTTCAAGAACAAGAAGTACCGTGTGAATTTTCCTTTAAAGGTATTGTGTTTTTACTCCTTATCCAAATCTGCATGTCCTAAATATGAATCCATATCTATACCTTGTCCTTTTTTTCATTTGCCTTTCTCTGCTTACTCTTTTGGTCCATTTGTTTTCTTGATGCTAAACCCTAAATCCATTAAAAATTTGAGAATTGATACAATCTTATAATACTTTTAGAGATTGATACAGCCTTTCGTAAAAAAGAAGAAATAAATAAAATTACAGATTAGTCCAAACCCCTATGGGATTTATTTCTTTGTGCATGTCAGGAAATTTTGCATTTCCATCATGTAATTATTATCCCACAAACCATGCTCAGGACATGTCTCTGAGCTTGTCACTAGGAAAGAAACCATAATGTTCTATTCAGTAAATACTAAGAGCTTTGAAAAAATTCAGTGAAACAAGAAAACTATAATTTCTCTTAACTTTTTTCTTAACAAGTTTCACTTTTTACAGTTGGACGGTTGATATACACTCTCCTGAAGAAGTTATTATTCCTTTAATTTTAGTCCCGATTTGTTAGCGAGACATCTCTCCTCTCTCTAGTTCCATACTTCCATTCCATGTAAGTGCTTTTTTGCCATGGGTAATCTATTTCATTTTATGTAATTTACAATTTGAAATAATATGGATGAATTCTTACTTGTTCAAATTTGCATGGATAATATTTAGGCTATCAGTTGCATTTGTTCCTCTAATGTTGGAAAATATCGAAAAATCGATTGACCTATATGATAATGAAAGGTCTTGTTTCAATAGCTTTTACGGGCTTATTGGAAGTACTTTTGGTATGATTAGTGCTTATTAGTTATTGTACGAGTAAAAACATTTTGTTTGACAAAAACTGGAAATACGTTAGTTGAATATAGGAAGCACTTGAAAAATGGGGGTTTCAACAGCATAAAGAAGTGGGAATTGGTTGTATAGGAATCACTTATAAACGATTTTTGCTAGAAGTGCGTGTATTAGAGACTTTAATGTGGAGTCTATATAAAAATAAATAAACCAAGTGCTTATTGAAAAAGTATTTGGAAGTGCTTCTAGAAGAAGCATCTATCATATGTTTTTCAAAAAAATACTTTTATGACTCAAAAAACACTTTTGAACTCTTCTTCCAAAAGCAGCCAAAGACTCGTCATTAAAGTTTTTTTTATTGTCCCAAAACACTTTTAACTTTTTTAGAAGCAGTCACAATCCAAAACATGCCCTCCTCCTATATTGAAATAAACAACCCCTATTATTGTATGCCCAATCCCCAAACTGTCTTTAAACATTCTTTAAGTTCTCTTTAATAAGTCATCACTCTACTGTAGCAGATCATGCTTTTCTCCATCTTCAAGAACAACAAGTCTCGTGTGAATTTTCCTTTAAAGGTATTGTCTTTTTACTCCTTATCCAAATATACATGTCCTTAATATGAATCTATATCAGTATTTTATCCTTTTTTTAATTTGCCCTTCTCTATTTACTCTTTATGCTGGATTCTTTGGTCCATTTGTATTCTTTGGTCCTAAATCCATTGGGAATTTGATAGTTGATACGATCTATACGTTTTTGGGGGAATTGATACAACCTTTCATAAAAAGAAAAATATAAAATAAAATTAAGGGAGTTTTAACGAAAAAATTCAGTAAATACTAAGAGCTTTGAAAAAATTCAGTGAAACAAGAAAATTCAGTGAAACAATAATATTCTATTCAGTAAATACTAAGAGCTTTGAAAAAATTCAGTGAAACAAGAAAATTATAATTTCTCTAACTTTTTTCTTAACAGAGTTTCACTTTTTACAGTTAGACGGTTGATATACACTCTCCTGAAGAAGTTATTATTCCTTTAATTTCAGTCCGGATTTGTTAGCGAGCCATCTCTCATCTCTCTAGTTCCATACTTCCATTCCATGTAAGTGCTTTTTTGCCATGGGTAATCTATTTCATTTTATATAATTTACAATTTGAAATAACATGGATGAATTCTTGCTTATTCAAATTTGCATGGATAATATTTAGGCTATCAGTTGCATTTGTTCCTCTAATGTTGGAAAATATCGAAAAATCGATTGACCTATATAATGAAAGGTCTTGTTTCAACCGCTTTTACGGGCTTATTGGAAGTACTTTTGGCATGATTAGTGCTTATTAGTTATTGTACGAGTAAAAGCATTTTGTTTGGCAAAAACTGGAAATACGTTGGTTGAATATAGGAAGCACTTGAAAAATGGGGGTTTCAACAACATGAAGTGGGAATTGGTTGTATAGGAATCACTTATAAACGATTTTTGCTAGAAGTGCGTGTATTGGAGATTTTAATGTGGAGTTTATATAAAAATAAATAAACCAAGTGCTTATTGAAAAAGTATTTGGAAGTGCTTCTTGAAGAAGCATCTATCATGTATTTCTTCAAAAACACTTTTATGACTCAAAAACATTTTTTAACTCTTCTTCCAAAAACAGTCAAAGGCTCGTCATTGAAGTTTTTTTATTGTCCCAAAACGCTTTTAACTATTTTAAAAGCAATCTCAATCCATAACATGCTCTCCTCCTATATTGAAATAAACAACCCCTATTCTTGTATGCCCAATGCCCAAACTGTCTTTAAACATTCTTTAAGCTCTCTTTAATAAGTCATCACTCTTTACTTGCAGCATGGAGCTTTGCATTTTCTCCATCTTCAAGAACAAGAAGTCTCGTGTGAATTTTCCTTTAAAGGTATTGTCTTTTTACTCCTTATCCAAATCTACATGTCCTTAATATGAATCTATATCAGTATTTTATCCTTTTTTTAATTTGCCCTTCTCTATTTACTCTTTATGCTGGATT